CAAGATGAAGCATTTCTCAGCCCTATAAGGTGCATGGGATGGTGCTAGCAAAAGCAATCTTTGAAACAAAGAATAACTTATTCATTTAAATATAACAATGTAGGTCATCTTGTACAAGCCATGCTATTCCATGTTTCAGTGAAGTTCTAGCCTCAGTGAATTTGGCCTTAAATTAAGACTAAGATTATAACATTATGATTTTAAAAGATAAACAAATAGAATAGTAAAGCTTGTATGTATTGTGCCAGGAGAAGAAATGGAATCAGACTATTTCATTTAAAACAATGGGGAAGATAAAAACCTCTATTCATCTGAAAAACCATTGTTTACAAAAACAAACCAACCAGGAAAATGGTAAGGATTTAAATATATATACCAGCATGCCTATTATAAACAAATAGCTTTATTCTTAGAAATGGTGAATCTGACTTTTATTGTATTGCTGAAAAAAAATCATTGGCAAGTTTGGGGGCAACAACTCGAACCTTCTGACCTTCTGGAGGGCAACATGTCAACTAGTGACATGATGAGATCCAGAGGGGTGATTTTTTTAGTCCTTTTTGCTTTGGGTGAGGGTTTAAAAAGGGGATGATACTGATAGATTATTTTGTTGCTGAATTTTGTCAGTGTGAGGTGAGATTTATGCATGATCAGAAAATGGGCTGCTGGGTTCACATTTAGTCCAAGTAGCCTATGCAGCATATACAGAACTTTGCTATATACGGACAACTTTTTGCTTATGTATGTGCAAAACTTTGCAGATCTGGGCATTATAGACCGAGCTTAATTTAGGCACAAGGTAAGAAAGGTACAGTTTGGGCCTTCGTAGTCTGAAAGGGGCTCTCAAAATATGCTTTGTTTCTGCATGTATTCATACTTTCTATTCAAAAAAGGACCTTCTCTACCCCACCATGGATTTATTATCTATCTTGGCAGTATTCTGTTAGCATTTACCAAACAACCTCTACTGCTTCCCATAGCTTAGGCCTTAGGGCCTTACCTTGCCTAAATCTAGCCCTAATTGTTGGGATAGTCTGGGCGTATTCTGGAAATTAATTATCCAAAATGTTTAATCATGTTTCACACAGAACAAGTTTATTTTGTAGGTGTGGCTGCAACACCATGAACTATTTCTGGCAAAGGATTCACTTTCAGAAAACTTTCAGAAAAATATGTGTGACATATATTTGCACATGGACAAAGTTCTTAAACCTTGTACCTTCCAAATGTGCTAGATTTTAATTCCCAGAATCTCTAGCCAGTAAACCATTAGTTGACATTCAGTACTTTGGAGGGCAGCAGAGTAGGGAAAACTGGTTAATGCTTGGGATGTTTGGAAAAAAACCCCAACATATTAATAAATGATTGTACTTGTTTGTTAATGTTCTTTGAAGTATTCAGCAGGACTCTTGAAAATGTAGTGCTTGATGGCAATCATCCTCTTACAGAAACCCATCATTGCCTAACTTTGTGTTTGCAAAACGCCGTAATAGAAGAGGTAGCTCATTAGACATACCAGGTTTAAGTTGCACTTAATTGCCTCTGAAATCAATAGGAGTTAAGTCATGCCAAATTTCCTTTGTTATTTCAAGCAACCTAGGCTTAACTAATATAACCTAGGCTTTACCTGAATTTAAGATTTTTTCTGCTCTTGAATTAACTGAAGTAAAACCTAAGAAGGGTGGCTCTATTGTATTTGTCTGAGTTTTAAGAGGGGGCAAACTATGCAAGAAAATTAAAAAAGTAGAAAGGTCAGAACCAGAAACTGCAATACACTGCCCATATGATTTACCAGTTTTTCACTGCAAAAGATTATGAATCTTTCAAAAATCTCCCCATTTTTGTCCTCTTTGTTCCTTTCTCTATCTCTTATGGTAGTTATTGTGTAACACTATTTCTTGCACTGAGCTTAGATTTAGATGCATTATCTCAGAAGCACACCCATAGGTTTCCAAATAAAATATGTCTTACATCAGCCTGCTACTGAATGGCTGTGCTAACAAACCAGCACATTGATGTTGGCAGTTAAGCTGGAAAAATTCAACTGGACACTGTTGATGATAATGCTAAACTATATGTTCCTAGTTAGGTGGCTGTAGTGAGCCCTGGGAAATACAAGGTCTGGGAACTAGACTTGAAAAAGCATTCTGGAAAAAGTGACAAGCCATTTTCACAGTGTTGTCAAAATAACAATGTGGATATGTGCACAGTCATTAAGAATCAAGCTCAGCTTTAAGCAATAGATACCTAAAGCAAGGTCTATATGGAGATCAGAGGGAAAAATTTACTTCAACATAGCTTTCCTGATATGATGAGCCTGACTGAGATTAGAAAGAGACAAATAATGTACAATTACTTGCTAGGTTTATATTTCTTTAACATTTACAATTGTTCTGCAAGCCATGGCTTTGCAACTGTGTACACTGTTTCAATGTGTATGTTCAATGGCAAAGGATGATAGGAGCAGTTTGTTATTGGAGCCAGTTGTTTCCTCACCTTAAAGTTTTACAACTGTATACATGCAAGATTAGAAAGGGAGATCGGTGCACTTCTGTAACTAATTCTTAAAACATCAAAGTAATAATATAATTGGTATTGTTGATAATATTAAGAGTCAAGCTGTTTTAAAGATTCTCATAATTTTGGCATGCCCATTAAATGTTCATAGACTGTTCAATGGTGTATAGTGATTCGGTGCATAATCTACAACTATGGATAGTTCTGGAATATAATAACATGTGCTTAAAATACAAGATGGTGAGGGGAAGGCAAATGTAATCTATAAACTACTAAAAATATGACACTTTTTTTAATCACCATATTCCTCAATTTGTGCCCCTTGCTGTTGCAAATTTGAAAATCAGAAATATTATAGAACTTTATATTTACTGTTCTGAACCTCTTGTTAAAAATAACTGCTAACCAAAGTAAACTTAATTTTCAACAGAATGATTATAGAACTGATGAACTGTTTTTTTTCTACTAGCCAGTTTCAAGTAGAAGTGTGCATCAGATCTGACCAATCTCTAATACAATTTGATTTCTTCAGACCAAAGCTATGGCTGTTGGAGATAAAACAAAGCGACCTATAGAGAACTTGGAATCTTTGTAATTGATTCAGTGTTTTGAAGCATTTGAAAAGCTGCCTGGGTTCCATTTCTCTATAAACAAATATGATGGAGAGAAGGAATAGGGAGGGAAATAGAGGCAAGTGAATGGCAAATCTGGCTTCTAATGGAAAGAAGTGTTCATCAGTCATAACATTTTGGATAAACTTTTTACCAAAACTAAAAGAGGAACTATTAAAGAGAAGAACATTGAACATTCTTTGCAAAACATTTATTCATTTTAGATGACAAAAAGAAATTGTTAGAAGACTTTAGGAACTATCTCCAAATAAAAATGCTCATCATAATGAACCTTAGGGGTTATTTTAATGTTTTAGTAACTATAACAAAATCAAAATATTTAGTTAAGCAATCTTGCTACAAGATATAATTTAATTCTGTCCAAAACAACAACACTTTTTCATCTGTTTTATATGTGGAAAGATCTGCAGTATCTTCAGTATTCAACAAATAATAAAAAGATAAAAGAAAGATTATTTTCGAACTCCCATATCTGTAAAGACTGCCCTTGTACAATACACCAAACAAATGCACTTATTTACTGTTACTGCCTCACATTTGGAAGAATGCAAATTCTAAGCAGTAAATATCTTTGCAAATATCATCCCGTTCTGACCAAAAGATAACATTAAAGCATTCCAAAACATTCAAGAGTCTACCTCCCTATTTCTCTGAAATTAGAAAGATGTTATCCCCTCAAAAGGGTCTATTATATCTGAAAATGCCATTCCATGCTGATCCTTATATAAGTAAAATGACACATCTATATCCAATGGTGCACAATTCAAGTTTAGGGAAAAATTTCTAAGACATGGATGAGCCTATAGATAGCCCAAAGAAAATCTAAATGGGTAGTAGAATGGAATGGAATACACTGAAAAAACCATGCTAGAAATCTGAACAGGTTGTCACATTTTGGTTACCATTTCCACTTCTAAAAATATTAAAATGAAGTCCAGCATAACAGCTTGCTGCAAAATAAAAATCAAGTAAAAGCCAGCATAATCACTGAATGGGAAGATTACATACTGTACCTCGGCCGCCTCTGAGCAAACTGGCCCAAACAAAGCAGAAATGTTTTCTTTTTGAACTTGATTGATGAAAGCTTGGAGGGACTTCTTAGCATCACACCCGCAGTCACCATATATATACTCCAGTTTGTAGTAGTGTAGATAAGATGGATGTGCATTGACTTTATTGATGGCAATCTCAAAAGCTGAGGTTAACTTTTGGGCACTCAAAGGATGGGAAATATTGCAAGGAGCCTGAAAAGCTACCACGAGCTTGGACCTTTCAATAGCAAGGATTGTATTAGTGGAATATATGGTCATAAGAAATAAAATAATTGAACCATAGTAAATGGAAAATGAATACTGCGAGCATTTGCTAAGGTAGTGCTGCATCGCTGCAAGAAATATTAAGATACCTTTGTAGACCTTCCATTGTTCTTTCTTTAATGTTATTTATACTCCTGTTTTAAATTATGATATCAACACCTTTGCCATTCATCAAACAGTGCTAATTAACTGAATCCTTGATCACCATGGTAACTAGTTTCCTTGCAGTAACACCCTCATCTTTGGAGGAATAATTTACTGGAAAGTCCTGAATATTTTTTTAAATAAATAATTTTTGTCACTGCTGCTTTTCTTTTGATAAGTTCTGCCTGAATTAGATTGAATTCAGTTAGGTCAGCTTGCTTAAGCACAGCTTATGACTTAGTATGATACAAGAAACAAGCCGTTATAAGTGACTGGTATAGAAAATCACTTTTGTGTACAGTTCTTATTTCATCAATATGAGGGAAAATGTGTTTTTGAAATCTCAGACATAACATAAACAAAGGATTTTCAGATGGATAAATGACCCTCATACTGTCATTAAGTAATTTCTGATAGTAAAGTATACGTATACCATTCAGCTATCTGCCTTGAAATCAAATTCAACACAAAGTATATGTGTGAGAGAGAGAGAGACAGAGAGAGAAAGAGAGAGAGAGAGAAAGTGAAGAGTCTTACAAAAGGTTTGTTTTTCCTTCCTGAATGAACTCTGACTTGAAATTTATTATCAGTATTACTGCTTACAACATCTTGTCTTTTGCTCTTGATCTTTTCCTGACTATTTTTCATCTTAAACAAACTGAAAGAATGGGAAGTATATGACTACAGTAGATAGCAAATAAAAATTGTTTGCCTGTTTTGACCATACACAATTTCTTAGGTCTGACGATTTATCTACAACAGAGATAGACAAACATTTTAGACTGATGTGCTCATTTGGAATTTTAGAGTATGTTATGTGTGTTCTAAGAAAATGGTTGCCATGAGGCAGAATTGCCTATCACAGTATTAAAATAACACTGACCAATGGAAGGACTTAACTAAATGTAACAAATGATAAATTGGTGAGGTTGCTCCATGCCAATTCTCTCTATCTTGTCCAGGATTCCTCTACCTCCCCAGGCATATTTCCAAACAAAATATTGGGCTGAACCCTTGAAATATTTGTATTCTCTAAGAAGGACTATGGGACTTGTGTAAGGTCCAGTGGCAGTTTTGAAATAAAGATTATTCCAATAGAAGAGAATATACGTAGTTCAAGGTGGAGGTGGAGTCCTTGGTGTTCTCTGAGCTTGGTTGTTTGCTTGCAGATGTTTCATTACCCAACT